TGGCTTGTGTTTATAGTGTTAGCTGCACTCTCGCAAGCGAAGTCTTGGCGCGCACAAAGCTCAATTCGTAAAACTGCTTGCCAAAATTCGGAATTTCACTCCCTTCAAGGTTATATCCTTCCTTTGCATCATCTTGTAAACTTGTCCTGATCCCTCTCACGTCCATGCCAAAGAACTGTCTCCCAGATTTGTGCGCCACGCTTTGCTTCCTCCGTCGGGTATAAATATCGGCGTGGGCGTGTATTTGGTGGTCAACTGAGACCAGAGAAGGTCGAAGAGAGGTGTGGTCATTGAGATGAGGATGTACTAGGTCGTACTTGTAGACTTGATAAGACTTAGGTAGGCGTCAAACTCGTTGGGAGCGGAAGAACGACGTGGTGGAGTAATTTTAAATTTTGCCTCGTGGGCCAACTTCTTTGATTTTGCGAAATTTGACTGAACTTGGCTCTGGGAGAATATTTCACTCCCAGGTTCGTAGATGACACTGCGTACAGGTGTTCAGTCTTGCCCTCCGACTCATGTCCCTTGCTTAGCCGTAATAGTTGAATTATATAGCACTCTGATACGAAACGGATCTAACCAAAAATTCTCCACTACAGTATCCAGGATCTTCAGTTTTCTAATTCGCCTCACAAGGCAATATTAGACAGAAGCTCAACTGCTTAAGCTCCTCTACAAAGCCCGCCTCCAACATCTAGATGTGGTATTAAATGAATGGATGGCGTGAGAATGTCGAAGATAAAAGGCGGCTGGATTCGATTGGAAGAAAGAGAAAGCCCCTGTGCTGGCGTTGTGAATAGCACAGGCTCCAGACACTCTATCGCCTTACCCGCCGTCACGATACGCACCTCGTCTGGCCGGGTTTACGGGATTTAGAGGATTTTCCCTGCTCACATAGAATCCATTGCTACCATTTTTGGGGTAGAAGTTTCTGTCGGACAAGAGGTTGAATTTTGCGGGTAATTACTGAGATGTTTGGCTATCCATCATGGGTATTACATCAGAGGTGTTTGTTAAAAAAAGAGGAGAGAAAAGCCGTTCAAGGTGTGGTTTGGGTCGGAGAGCAGCTCAAGACTGAGGTACTGATACTGTCGGAATACTCAGGTGGTATTTATATCACAAGTTCTCTTCAGCAGTAACAACGATTGAGGCTAACATTTATCTTGTTTCTTCCCTCATCTGACCAACAAAAACACGTATATGGACTAATTATCCCTCTCTCTCCTTACGCCATTCCTAAACAGGTAACTCATTACTCATCAATATAATTGGTAATCATTTCTAATATAATACATGAAAGGTCAATAAGTCATACGACAGATACCATTGTATGTAACGAATTATCTCATTGGTATACTGGAGAACATCGTGCCTATTTTGTTGTTTGTGACCTATCACTGGTCAATTTTCTGGTGCCTTTGGACAAGGCAAAGCCGCATAGAAGGCCGGTGTGTGTGTTTATTATACTACTTAAGTCTATGACTATCTAGCACATTGGGCTCCTCTCTGACCCAGGCCACACCTTAAACAGTGCTCCTATCCTCTCATGTTTCTTGAAAGATCATAGATTGCGCTTGATGAATAGCCAATGCAGCTAAAAGTTTACCTGTAGAATTTGGCCACCTTTTCCATGGAACCTTCTACCCAAAAAGGGTAAAAATGGTAGCAATGGAAACTGCGTGCGCGGGAAAAAGTCTCAAAAAACCTACAGTCCCAGCCTGACGAGGCCTAGACACCGGGACCACATGAGGTGCGCATATTCATTTAAATCTCCCTTCTTTGTAACAGTCGAGGTCGACTTGATCCAACTCGCCATCTCCGTATCGGGTGCTGGGTACGCTCCGCAAACTCATCGGATGGCTTCTTCTCCATGACCAAGGATTAGTGATGAGAAGGGCTCCAACCCTACCATCTGATCTGATCGCGGCTAGCTTGGTGATAATGGTGATAGGGGAATATGTTGAGGTATGAAGACGATACAGACGGCGAAAGCGATTGGGAATCCTCATCGAAGTGAGGGCTTTGTTACTCAATCTCGGCTCTGCAGACTCTACAGTGAGAGCTGGAGGCTCTTAGGGGACACTACTGACAGGTGTTGAGAATAGTCCCCCCTATAGAAGGCCGGTGTTTCAACCAAATCTCGTCTGCTTTAGGTATTTGCGAAGAGCTTGATATTCTCTCGGGCCGTTTAGTGGAGATCTTAAAACTCTCAAATTTGGACTACGTTCGAGGTTGGTGATGTAGTTATGAGGGTCAGGAAATCCAGCTTGCCGGCAAAGATCAGCCAGGAAAATTGGAGACGATGAAGGCTGTCTGTGATTGCTGGACGAGGGTCGGACAGATTTGATCGCATCTGCCATTCGTGTTTGGGATGGAGATGGCTGGTTTGTTTGGCTCTTACAGTCTGGAAGCGGCTGGCAAGCGGGCCTTCGCCCAAAAACTAGCTCACGCCATTCCTCTCCATGTCCACGTCAACAAGAACATGCAAATCTGACGACTTACTGTGCAGGGCCGCCATTCAGAAATTATCGAATTCGAAGAAAGTAGCAAATAAAATAATTTTCAAAAGAATCACCAAATTTCCGAGTCCGGTAAAGGCCATTCTTCACACAAGATGGCTGAGCAGAATTGCTCATGTAGTTCATAGAGATAGTCTTCTCACACATCTATCCGCACTGGTAGTAGCCCTTGACAGACGTTCTTTTAGCCACTTAAATCTATACAGCTACCTAGTCATGACATATAATCCGTACCATGTATACATGATGGATGATTCTTTTGACAACAGAGACACTCAAACTCTAGATTATCTCCACAAATACCGCCATGAGGTGTGTTGCTCACGCAGAACAGTGGACTTTCTGTGAGAGCCCGACAAAGGTATATTTGTAAGCTTTGGTTATCCAAGCATACAAGAACTGCGAGAAATGTGATTCAGTCTTGCTAGATTCGAATCGGTGATCTCCTGTCTCAAGTGAGATGGGTGTCCGGGCTATCGAGATTCTACCCGACCAATAGGCCTGATTGATGGACCACTGAACCATCTCGCCGTAACAGTTTTCAAGGCGTCACCTGCACTCTCGCAGACGGAATCGTTGAGCGTACAAAGCTTTACATTAGATTTTACTATAGTCCTATCCGAGTCTATGACTATGGAGGACTTCTAGAATCCACCCGAAAGGAACTAGCTATATTTGATTCATTTCAACATGATAACGTTAAATAATTTTCTTGTAGACAGTGAGGAGCAATTCCTGTATAATGTACAGAGCTTTTTTGTGAGAAGATTAGAGACATTTTCAATCATTGGAATTCCATACATTTTGAGATTGCCTCTATTCTCAGCGTAATCAACCTCATCTCTTCCCCGCCAGCATTGTGCAACACGATTTGCTTCCTCCTGCGCTCATTCATCGTGCCGTGCACATATATCTGGAGACCAGTAGAGACGAGCGACTGAGGGAATGAGTGCGGTCATGAGAGATAGTCTGTGACTGATCATACTTCTCGACTTGCAAAAGCTTGGGCTGGAGTTGTTCTCGATTGAGGCAAATAATTGGCTTGATTCGAAGCTTTGAGCCAATGTATCGCGGGCTGACTTTTTACATTGCGAAAGCTGGATATTTCCTTTCACTGGAAGGATAACGTACACCCCAGCCAGCCCTCGTCCGAAAAATCTCATGACGAGAGCCAGACTGTTTTGAATTCGGCAGACCTGGCTACACTTCCGACGGCCCACTGCCTGAATAAGAGTATTCGCGCGCGTTGACTTGTCAAATTCTCTTCAAGCTGCCTTTTCAGTGGTGATCCGCCGTTGAGGGGGCCCGCAAGTACCCTGCGACGGGCTTTCGGTGTGATACCGGCGTCTATAACCTATTACATGTAAATCACCATAATTGTAACATTATCCTTTGTGTGTGGAAGTCAGTAAGGGGGCACCTACACTCATATCACGCCCTAACGGATACATGGCGACAATGGCTCTTGTCTAGTACGAAGAGAAACATAATGACCCCTCAAGCCTCTAGCGTGTCTGGTCATAACGTGACCCTTCCGGATTCGATGCTTGCGGACTCCCTTGATACCAGCCACGCCGGAGTGCTTAAATCCCTGAGAAGCTTGCTCTGCAGGGACTGGCTAAACGTTGACTGCAACGGCGGGAGCGGGAAGGTAGATCAATAGCGCACCTCGACCCATCGACATGCTCCCGGCTTACATGGCCGTCGCCTCACCGTCTGGGTGATATGGGATTCGGATTTGCTGCGACACAGGCTTAGTAACACCCATGGAGCTATGCCACCCTACCGCATGCAAGCCGCTCTGCTAGCTGGGTGCGTCTGGTTGATGAAATGATTACTAGCGCTATCCTCCGCGCCTATCTCCAACCGTTACGGCTGCATGCTACCCTGCGAGACAATCCTTGAGACATGCTGTAGATCCTTAGTTGCATGCACGCAGATTCAGACCCACATAGCACTTCCGTGTCGTCGCAGGGCCAAGGACATCCAGTCACGGATGAGCCAGTCAGATCCTGGCTCTCTACCAAAATTTTGCGGCATCGGCATTTTCTCGTTTATCGGTATCACTCCTTCCGACGTCTTGATAGCACCTTAATTCTACCTTGCTACAAGTTTTTGAAGTTCTAGAGGCTTTACTTGGGGAATCTGACATACACATTGACCATCCTAAACCGAGATCCAATCTGTCAATAAAAAACTAAATACAAGCTACATGCTTATGATACAATCAACCAGGTAGAAATTCTAGAGCCTGACGACTATTAATGAACTTCTTCAATTGAATATTTCCTTTGTACCACTCTCGAAGTTCTACCCGACTTAAATTTCTGTATCATACTGATCTTCCGAGACTTTTATAGAAAGCAAAATTGATTACAATGACGCACGTGATGCCTGGTGATAGCATAGCTGATGCAAAGTATTATACATATGACCCAAAATAAGGAGTTTGGATTATTCTTAATTAGTAACGACACATTATCAGGTAGTTTCAAACTCGTAATTCGAAATTTCTTTCTTGATTGCTTCAAGATTAATTGAGCCTTTGGAGCTGAAAAGTTTACCGCCCCTCCGACTCATGGCCTTGATGATTTTTCCGGCGTCTTTGAAGTATTGTGTTCGTCGATTAGGTCTATCCGGGCCCCCTTTATCGTGAAGCTTCATGTGAGCCCTCAAATTATCAAATCGTGAGAAGGTTCTGCTGCAAAATGGGCATTGAAAACTATCGGGGTTGTAGTGGGTCCTTTGATGGCGCTTCAGATGTTCTTGACGTACAAATTTCTTCTCACAGCCCTCAAAATTGCATTTTTTGGCCGAGCTTGGCAGGTAAACGGCGCTCCTGGGAGCCGGGCCATTACATTTTTTGGTCTGTTGCTTTGATCGTTTTTGTTGCTGTCGAAAAGATTGGCACTGTATATATGTTGGCGGCTGAAACGGAGTCTGTGAGGGAACGATTAATGATTCAGCAACCGTCTGGGAATACGGCTCCAGCTCGCTCGAGTCAAGCGGTGAAGACGGATCAGTAATGCTGGAAGTATTCTGAAAGCCACTTGAGAGACTACGGTGCGTATTTATGAATTCGTTGAAATCTTGTGCTGTCTGGTCAGCATTGTGGTAGGGCACAGCATGAATCTCAGAGAATGAACTAATATATGACATTTCAGGAGAGCAGTTCAGCTGAAATTGAGAGCATTTGCTCGCCATATCTTCACTAGACTGAGGTCGATATTCAACAGGGTATACAAAGCTATGGTCGTAGGGTATCTGAGGTCCAATGAAGTAATCCATTTTCGTTGCTGTGAGACTTGTATTTGATCTGGCTGCACTAGTATAGTTCTGTGGATTTGGAATTGGAGGCATGCCATGGCTCTTGATTCTTTTATGCCAGTCAGAGTTATATGTCAGTTTTGGATCATAGAGGTGTGGATCATAGGCGTGCGGATCCTCAAATCCCATAGACTCAGTTGACGTCTGACGAATGGCGGGTGTAAAAGAATCTCTCCAGTTTTCCGGGGATGATTCAGAGTAGGGATAGTCAAAAGATGAGCAATTTGAAAACGGTGAGCTTTCCGGCAGGAATTCTGTTTGGTAAAATGAACAGTCTTCGGTGAGCATGTTCATCATTGTTATTATATTTCTGTAGCCGATCTGGGTATATCATCTAAGAATTGAAAAGTTAGGACAATTTGGTAGCGTTCTCGAAATAAAACCACATAAGACTCCATAATCCGGATCTGAAAGATGAGAGAAATTAAGAGACTGGCGGTTTTCTGAAACAGAAAGGATTTGTACACTCTTGATACTAACAGTCTCTCAACATCTTGTAATTTAAAATCGAACTCATCGATAGTATTCTGGAACAGAAATGAAATAAAAGTATTGCAAATATGTTGCAAACAATCTTTTTCTAGCTTATACTAGGACTTTATTTCTTACCAGACTATAGTAACTTCTTTGTATGATTGACAAGTAGCCTTTTTGGTACAAGTCCGTTTGCTTTCTTATGGATAGGTGCTTAGATATTTGAATTTGAACTGGTGTAACTTGAAAACCAACTGTGAAGCTGCTTTGCGATAGATATTGACCCCGTCATACAACTCTACAGGTAGTATCTTATATTTATGCTTCTGATCTAGATTTGGTTGACTGCTGAATCACTTATTAAAAGATGATTTGGAGAGGCTGTAGAATATACAATTCATTAAAACTTGACGGAAAGATGTGAGACTTAATTGACAGTTCAATTTCATGGTTCCTCATATCTTCATATATCTAGAAAGTGAAGGACAGGTTGACAGGCCATCTATTTGCTGAGATCCACTGAGCAGGCTTGTATCCGACAACCTAATCTCTGTACGCTGATCTAAATAGCTCTTGCCCATGTGTTTCGAGTACTTACAGGCAAATTCCGAATCTGATGCGCGAACATTGGTCTTGTACTATTGAACCTTGCGACCTATCACCTTGGTATAATGTTTCCAATTTTATCCCGTCAAGTAACTACTGAAACTTGCCGACATTAGCTATCTAGGAATGCCCTTGCAATATTTTCAAGGTATGCCTTCAACGACCAGATCCGGCGCAGAGCTTAAGTTTGCTCATCAAATTATCCTGCATAATCGAGTACTCAATAATTATTTGCGGTTAACAATAATTCAAAAGAGCCCATACGTGTATGAAGAGAATATTTTTCATCAAGATCCTACTATGATAGTCCTGAGATTTTTATCGTCCCTGCATAGAGTACCACCCATTGAATGAATTTGGATAGTATTTTGAAAGGTAGACGGCAAGCTTGAATTTAATACAAAATATTTATGCTGGATATCATTGATATGGTGAAATGTTATCTTAGCGTTAAATTGGGATGTAGTTGTTGTGATACTGCGTTCAAATCTATCCAGCAGCCTATAGACTCATTCTATTATAAGTGGAATTGGCGGGGTTGATTAAATAAACTGAATCCTGTTTGTTTAAACTTTCCTTCAGTTCGAATTTCCAAATTTTCTACTCATATCAGAAGAGCTCTGAAGAATAGATGTAATATGAAATTTCTATCATAAAACTGTCAAAGTACCAGTTTCTCTCAAAAAAGGCGAAATGACTCCATACTAGAAGTCCATTTTAAAATGTAGCAAAAAATCACATGATTTATTTACACCCTAACATAGATTTGTCACTATAAATTGTTATTCTTATTAGAATATCCAGGACACGGCGAGGCAAAACTGCTAGAAAAATGCTCAAGCTTGAAAAGATTTATTGCGTACATAAATCTTGTCAATTTCCACTCAAATTAAAGTTTATTTCTAGATATGATAATGCACTCAATACTGAAGACGACAGTGCTTAAAATTTGCGTGGGGTGCATGATAGCTAGCCCTCGCGTTGCCTCAAGTTTTGAGATGGAATATATTATCAGATAAGGAATTCATCGGAATCCAAAACCGAATCAAGGGGTACACGTTTCATAGTGAAAATCGGTGCATTATTTGATCTATCGAATGCACGAACAGCTTCTAGAAAACAATAATTTCGCAGGAGAAGTCTTTCGGCGTGTCCAACATAAGCTTATTCCAGGGTCTTCATGTAAGGTTTCGATTGCTGTTGTAGAACTAAGCGTTCCAGGGATATAGTGTTATAAGAATGTCTTACCTTGCTCTCTTGGCGGTAACTCATTCAGTTGGTTTCGGCGCATCGTATTGCAAATCTAGGCGTTTATCCCTTTCATATCATTCAATTTTTATGTATTTAGCTACTGTTTTATCCATCGAGTTACTTACGCCGCGTAGTCTGAAATAGAATGCGGAAAGTAGAACAAGTCCCATGTGCTTATCGCAAGGGTCTTAGCGCCTGGCAGGGTCCTATCTATCGGCTTAATGTGTAACGACTCAATCAAGGCCACAGACCTGAAAAGTTTTAGAGCATAGCTAAATAGTATTTTTCTAAGCCCATAAAATTTAAGTTGTTTGAGAGATCAATCATTTTTGTGACCTAGGAAAAGCCCAGTAAGAATTCCAAATTTCATGAATTAGTTGGAATTTTTGTAAGGTAGAATCGGGAAGTAACTGCCAGTGTTGGATTCCGATTGGAACTCTAGATTGTATAAAAATAGTACCCGTATTCATTCATTGTATTTCTCGCGCAAACATCAATTTATTACATTTTGACCAATTAAAATATTGCACATGCTCTACTCGAATCAAGAGTTTAGAAGCGTCAGTAGTTTGTGGTAAATCGGATTCCAGTTCCTATGCTTGCCATACAGGCTGTATAGACCTGAAAGTGACTCAATTTCTCAATTTGGCCCTTGTCTGTAGTGTATGACACAGAGAACCTTAGCAAATTTTCTACCGACCCAAATCTAGATGTGTTTATATTTTGACACAAACATTATCTCAATTCAATAAGTAGACTAGTTTTTCATCCCATAATTTTGACCGTTGGGAACGTCGATCTACACTCCCCCTGCATTGATAGGTTGATTTACTTCGTGTCACATAGGCCTTTCCCTGTATTAATTTAGAACATAAAATTCTTCTCTCCTCAAACTACTTAAACTTATCTGAGAATGTTTGGATTTAAGACTAAGTAATTTGTCCGGTTATAGAAAGCCAGATTTCGTTTGCTATAAAATTTGACCTTGAACTACTGATTGACAGATAACCATTAGTTCCTTAAAATATGTTTCTCTGACTACGTTTGCTACTCCATTTGGTCTTGGAAGAGTTCGTAGAAAAGAGCCAAAATCAGCTGCCCTCTTCAGCTTATTTTCATTCAAGAGCTTTACAGTAGCTATGATTAAGAGAGGCGAAAATTTAAAGCAACAGATGCCGTTACCATGTGCTAAGCCTGTGAAATGGCATTATATGGTGCAACTAATTTCCAGGCTTCTGGAGGTCATCTCTATAATCTAGGTCTCCAAGGTTCATGAGATATTTCATGCTCATGAAGTACTCTTTTGTGGGTTATTACCCACATTTACCTTGAAATAATTAACATTTAGTTTTTCTATAAATGCGGAAAATCATGTTCCAATCTCGAAGGAAAAAATTATCATTCATGATGGTAACCCAATTTCAGTTCCAGGATCGTCAGCAGTTAATACTTGAAAGTCATCTTCGGTTGTTTCCATGCCCTCGGACGACATGAGCTTATTATTTTTATCCTCAGCTATAAATTACTCGTGTTAATAGTTTGTTCCTCAAAATAATTGGATAAAACAAGCATTAATTTGATGGAGGTAATGAGATGTATCAGCTTACTTCTAGGCTCGATAAATAGGTTTTCTTGGACTTCACAATCTTGCAAAATAGACTCTTCGCCAATCTCACATCGCTTTCCTAATATGCAGCCGGTGAGCTTGCATCCTTTTCCTACAACAACACCGTCCATTAAAATGCAGCGTAAAAGTTTGGCTCCGCCTTTGATATGACAATTTGCTCCAATGACACACTCTTTTATAGAAGATTTTTCTTCAACAGTTACATTTTCGGCAATAAGACAATCGGCTCTGGTGACGGTCGTGCGAGGAGCAATACCATCAGGATGAGCGATCTTGTATTGGTGGGCAAATGGAGATGAAGAATCCTTCCCCGCTACATCGATTGAATCTAACTTGGCAAGTTGTAGAGATGTCGCAAGTAATAAAGATGCAGTATCAACTCGTCGTATAAGTTTACCAGTTTTTGGATGAAGGTAGGCTAAAATAGGGGGTACCTGAGACGAATCTGCCCTGTTGGTTTCGGCGCTTTTTAATTCTGAAGTCCATGTCGTACTTAAACCTCCGAAGTTGGTATGGCATTCGGGTTTGGTGCTGTAGCTATGTTCATCAGGAGAGCCAGGATCATATTTGGTGAATATTTCTCCCAGACCTAACTTTTCTTTAAGACCTTCTTGCCATCTAGCCTTTGCCCACCATCCGATAACATCCTCACCAATGCTGTCCATATGTTCATTTCCGTTGATCATATCTAGAACCCAGGCTGGGAATATGTAAATGTGTGCATCACGGTGAGAACTCAGCATCCGAATCCGAGGATTGGAACGAATTAGGCCATGACGAACCGGAAAGCTTTTTTTATCTTCCAATAAGTCTCTTAGAGAGTCTGTTGGGATTGAGTAAATAAGACTTGATATGTGACTTAGTATTGAAGATTTAGAAGGAAGAATTGGTCCTAGTTCCAATGGTGATGTGGCAATAAAGTCTGTTTCTTCATCTTTGATTACTACATCCCGTTTTGTTTCATACCAAACGCCTAATCCGCCTCTGCGCCCAACTTTCTCAGGACATTCGGATTTTCTGTTCTCGGTGAGAAATCCTCGCTCACAAGGGTCTTCAATTTTGGCCTCTCTTACCATCCAAGATTCCAACAGCGACTCGCCGCCGATCTCACATACTAGGTCGCATGGTAGGACGATGAAATCACCCGTTATTATATCCCTCACCTGTTGAAGGCGAAATATTGCAGCTGTACCAGTGTTTTGGTCCAGGTTCTCTGGTGCCAAGATGTTCGGCTTGGGTAGAGGAAGACTGGTTAAATGTGGGTTGGTATTGAGAGCTGCTGTAATAGCAGGTGCTGAGGAATAAGGCGTTATTAACGTAATATCTGCATAAGATTAGGAACTTCATCTTTCTCAATCAATTATATTAAAATTCAATCTATCAATTAATGTTCTTTGGTGCTTGACAGGAGCCATTATCAAGTATAAAAACTAAAGATAGTTGATTTGCAAAAACTGACTTACTGGTTATTCCCATTCGATAGCAAAATTCGATCGGGTACCATACCATAGGCCTGTTGGCGATAGGAATTAGGGCTTTTGGATTTTCATCAGGATTTGCGGTAAAGGTTGGAAATGAAGATCCTGGGCCGCACAGAATTACGGCCTGGAATCCAGATGCTGGAATTGAGAGGGCGTGTGGCATTATCAGTTTGAGCTATTCTGTGAACCTGTTATACCCCTCTATTCCGGCAACTGGTTGATCTCTGGTAACAGAGGGTCATACACAAGGGCTAGGCAATTTTAGTCACAAGAACTTTGGTAAGCAGCCACAATTTATTTTAGTCACGTGTTATAGCTTGTCAACTCAATGTTATGAAACTCCATGCAATTAGATATATCTGTCTAGAATGCCTTGCCTTGTTTAGATATCTGGCATTAGTACAAAGCTAGTGTCTCTTTATTTCCTCGATTTTAGAGAGTCTAATGCTATTACTATGCACTATAATCAAAGCTCTGAGCGCTTTTAGAGTCCCCATTCATTCACAAAGTTTCCTTTGTTTTCGTCAAACTCAGGTATCCTTAGCCTAAAGGTACAAAAGACCTAGGCGTCTTATAAAAGCTCAAACTGAGAAAGGAAAGTGTAAATGATGATAATTAGTATTATCTCAAAAATACTTCCTCTTAAACAGGTAATAAAATCATGCAGACCGATAGCTAGAGCGAAAACAGTCAAGCGAATAACCGGGGCGTGGCTATTGCCGAATGAACTAGAATTTTTAATTAAAAAAAGTCTTGAAAATATAGCTGATGAGCTAGCTGTCGGAAAGTAGTTTAAGTTGCTTTGCACTGAGCGTGGTGCAGCAGGGCAAGACTGAACACCTGTACGCGGTGTTCTCTACGAACCTGGGAGTGAAATATTCTCCCAGAGCCAAGTTCAGTCAAATTTCGCAATACCAAAGAAGTTGGCCCACGAGGCAAAAATTCAAATTCCTCCACCATATCAATCTTTCACTGCCAACGAAATCGATTCCTACCTAAGCTTCATCAAGTCTACAAGTACGACCTAGTACATCCTCATCCCAATGACCATACCTCTCGTCGACTCTCTTTGGCCTCAGTTGACCGCCAAATACACTCCCACGCCGATATTTATACCCGACGGAGGAAGCAAAGCGTGGCGCACAAATCTGGTAGACATTTCTTTGGGATGGACGTGAGAGGAATCAGGACAAGTCGACAAGATGATGCAGAAGAGGGATACATTCTCGACGGGCATGAAATTTCGAATTTTGGCAAGGAATTTTTACAAATTGAGCTTTGTGCGTGCCAAGTCTTCGGTTGCGAGAGTGCAGGCGACACTAAAAATTGCCATGGTTGGATGGTGCGGTGGTACATCGTCTTGGCCGGTCTGCCAAGTAGAGTCTGGATAGCTTGGACACATATCCCACTTGAGACAGTAGATCGCTGGTTCAATTCCGGCGAAACACAACCACTTTTCTCGCTGCGCTGGTATGCATGGATGACCAAAGGTTTCGAAATTCCCTTTGGTGGGTACTTACGGAGGAGAGTCGACTGTTTGTGTAAGCAAGCATACCTCATAGTGGTATTTGCGAATGAAATCCAGAGTATGAGTGTCTCTAACGTCAAAAGAGTCATCCAACATGTGTACATAGCACCGGTCATGTGTGATAGCTAGATAGCTGAATACACATTAAATGATTTAAAAAAAAAACGCTAGCACAGGGTATACTCAATCTCCATTCGCCAAACACCAGTCGGTCGGGACTACTAATTAACCAGCCTAGTAGGATCGTGGAAGTGTATCCCAACACAGAAATAATAGAAAACTCAACAACCAAACACTTCATCAATTCGAGAAATTCGAAAATTCGAAAATTCGAAAATTCATTTTTTCCCTCTTTCCTCCCTTCTCGACCTCGTCGCATCTATCTCTGAATTGTGATCGAGCTCAGGCATTTTCACCATGCCTCCAGTTCGCACAAAGCGCCCCAACGTCAAGTTGGACAACACGAGAGTCCACCCGAGGGCTCTCCAACAATTACCTGGCCTTGCCCAGTCTCCGAAATGCGCGGAGATGAGCAACGTCTCTACCAAAGGGAAGGAAAAAGCCCTCCCCACCGTCACTGAGCCCGATACTGACATGATCGGGTCAGTCGAAATTATTGAGGAAATTCCTCAACCATCCTCCGTCCCCCACGGGATTGGAGAATCGTCAAAAACTCCCCCGACCGCGCCAAAACTGTCGGAGAACGCTGCACCCAAAGCAGCGTCAAAATCAACGTCGCAGCCCAAAGCTGCCACGAAAGCAGATTGCCCTCCGGAACTTCGACCCATTATCGAAGCCGAGCAACGACGTGCCGCCGAAACAGCGGCAAATCTGGCCCTTTGCTCCGCCGCCATCTCTGGCGTCGAAGTCACCCTTCTTCCTTTGACCAACGGGTCAAACAGACAATTTGTAGACTCGATGAGAGTCTACCTACGCGCAGCCATCGCGCAATACATGGCCACGGGCCCGGCCTCCACGCCACCCGTCCCCCCTCCTCGCCCGGCGAACCCGATCCCAAGGGCTCCCGACGTCAGGAGCACAACGATTTCCGCCGTCCCAGCGCTGCCTATAAAAAGCACCTGGGCCACGGTGGCCAAAAATGGACTGCAACAAAAAGCAGTCCCAACTGTAAAGGCTGTTCCGCGACCTACGGCAAAAGCCCAAAATAAAGAAGCTCCGAAGGCTAAAGTCGACAAACGACTGTTCCTTCGCTTAGAGAGCGATCACCCATGACGCCAGCTTTCGCCTGACGGCATAAGGCATCAATTATGTAGTAGGCTACTGTACACCTTGAGTGAAAAAAGCTCTATACACCGTGTCAGAACCGGATTTGCGATTCTGACAGCGGATGAAAATGAAAGGGAAGAGCTCTTAGATGCCTCACCGAAGTTGTCGGACTTCAATGCCAAAATCGAGGAAGCCTCCAACCTTGTCGCCTTTCTGATCGCGAATGTTCCAGCGACTATAAAATTAATCAACCGTATTGAGACGGTCGATGCCGGTAGGATCTCACTGGAGATTTACCGCAAAACACAACGACGTCCATGCCAGGTGCGACCGCACGGGACATGTCGTCCTGGAGCGCCATACAGAAACTGGTATGCCCTTTTCAACCGGGACTCCGCCCCTCGTGCGGGCTTCCGAATTCTCGATGAGTCCGGAGCGGCTACAAAGATCCAGCCTCGTCGCCAAATTGAACAGTGCAAACGCTGTTTAGGCTTCCACGCCACCCGTGGTTGCTCCCGCGCCCCAGCGTGCTGGAACTGCGGATCAAACATGCACTCGGAAGCCGAGTGCAAGGCCCTCACAAAGTGTCGCAACTGTGGGGGACCCCACCGATCGGATTCTCGGGACTGCAAAGTCAGACCCAGAAAGTCTGGACCGGTGACCAAAGAGCAGCTCGCGTGGATCCGCCACATCGAACAAGGGGAGTTCGCGAAGGTGGCACGAGCACGAGCAACAGCAAAGAAGGCCGAAGAGGCAATCACCGCCGCTGCAAAGGACGTCTCGATGGCCGAGGCTACAGGTTCCGGAGTTCTGGAATTTGAAGAAGAAGTTTGAGGACACAGCAACCTCGACGATGTCCCTTTTGGGGCATATACTAACCAATAGCAGGATACCGGCTGGATAAAAAGTGCCTGCTATCTCATCTCTTGCTCTCAGCGGAGATTGAGTAAATTTGTCATTTGGAAGATGTGGCAGGAAAGGGAACGGGCGAGAAGCGCGGGATCCGGACCACATGAAAAATCTTGTAAATTTGATTTCAGTCTTTGGCTTTTAGTTTTGATTTTAGTTTTTGATTACAGTTTCTGAGTTATAATTTACCTGCTACTTTTTCTGTAGCGGGTCACGCGGTTGGAATGAGTTGGGCCTGTAAGCAGTGATCCCCGCCGGCTCCACCAGTCTTGTACCGATAGTGGACCTAGAGCCTTAGCTTAGGACTTTAATATAATTAAAAAAAAAAAAACACTTCATCAATTACTTCCATTAACCATCACCTGACTTATCTCTGTACTCGATAATTTCAACAATGGTGGCTTTTTTTTCACTTCAAGTCCGCCCTCATCCATGAGTACTGACCCAGGGAAAATTCTGAAAAATCCCAAGTCATCTATTGTCTCACATCCGCGCGTAATATAATCTCAGACTTCTCAGCCCCGAGTGGAAACGATGTCAAGGCTACTCAAACTATGCCAATGATCACCACTAGGAGACGCACTACAGGAACTTCTATCCTTGGCTTTTGTTTATAATTTGAGCTGCACTCTCACAATTGAAGCCTTGGCGCGTACTGTGCTCTTCAGTTTGTAAATATCCTTGCCAGAAGTCGAAATTTCACACCGTCCAGGTATTAACCTTTCTATACATCATCTCATTGATTTGTCATGATTTCTCTCATTATCGTCCCAGAAAATTACTTCACAGATATATGCCCGGCGATTTTTGTCCTCTGACGAGTATAAATATCGATGTGAGCGTAAATTTGGAGGCTAGTGAATGGTCGATGAGAGGTGTGGTCATTGAAGTGAGGATATACTAGGTCATTCTTGTAGTGTTGTTGATTTTTGTTGTAAATCGAACTCGTTGGAAGCAAGGTGTTTAGTTAGTGGATAGTCGAAGCATTACCTCGTGGGCCAACTTCTTTATTATTGCGAAATTGGACTGAACTTTGCTCTGGGAGTGTTACAAGCTTACCGCCTAGTGTCATAGCAAGATAGGCTGCATACACTTAATGATTTAAAAAAAAAAAAAAGCATACCGCCTTTTTTTTGCATCAGATTTTAATTGCGTATGCAGCTATCTAGCTATGACACAATATCAAAGAAAAGTACAGATTAGATGATTCAACGTAAAGCAAGAGCACTCATGCCTCAGATTTCATTTGCAAATACCACTGCGAAGTTATGGTAGCTTTTTTTTCACCCCAAGTCAACCCTCATCCGTGAATACCCACCCAGGGAAACGTCTCAAAAACCCTGAGTTATCCAGACATGCCTCCCTCATCCATTATCTTTCCTTCGCGCGCAATATGATCTGAGATGTCTCCTTCCCAAGTGGAGTAGGTGCCCAGGCTACTCAGACTATACCAGAGAACACCACCAGGAGGCGGATCACAACACCTTCCATCGCTGGCT